GTGGCCATGCCCTCACCTTTCATTGTCCATTCAATCTTGAAATGTGCGCATAATCGCGTGACACTTTGGTACCTCCCAATAAGTCCACCAAAGGCAGTCCTGTAAAGTCATAAGTAAATAATCCCAAAGGAGGAGCGTTGCTGCCAGTAATCACAGCTACAGTTCGTCTGTGAGTAATGATACCACAAACAGTTGGATAGATGAAAATGTGCTTGTAAGGTAACAGCGAATTTTCGTGGTTTAAATAGAGCATTGCGGCCATTAGGGATGCTGCGATCTTGACCCCGACAAATTATAAATACTGTCGGTTTATTCCTGGGTAAGGAAATTTTGGGCACTTTTGATAAGAGAGAAGAAGTATTCGATGCCTGTCCGTGTACACCTTCTAGTTGACAGTAAGTTGAGAAAAGTGCTTAACGATTTTACACACGCATTAAGAAGGTAGTCTCTCATTCACCTCTACAAGCAATTAGAACATGACTCTCCGACCCTTTACGCGATTCAGTTGCAGAATATTTTCACGCAATTTTTAAATAATGCAGTGGTTTTGCCGTGGAGGTACTGTTGGTCACTGTGGCTGGTAGCAGAATCCAATGCCTAGTACAACAATATCTTTCGTCTTGGTCTCCGTCACTGGGTTGTTGCCGCATTAGAACAACTGAAGGTGACGTATGGACTCAATGTGCCATCATTAAAATTAGTTGTAAAGCTGGTCACTTGATTAAGCATGGACGGCATTGTTTGTTTCGCCAAACCTAACACCTATTCGCTGGAAGTTGGATACCTTGAATGTCCTTCGATTTGTGATTCCTCTTTGGCGCTTTGCTGGCGTTTAAGTAAGCAACTGCCTTCAGCGGTCGAAGTACCACTTAACTGAATTTATTTAGGCCTTTTAAATTAGGCAGTCAGTACGTGCTTTCTCCTCAAAGTACAATTCATCGTTACTTCCTTTCTTATTATGTTTTCATGAGAAGGTCATTTAAACATGTGAGGTCTGCCTAACTTGCGACAAAATATCGGCTTTTGTTCAGGCACTAAATTTGCGAAATCTGCAGATATCCGTGGGAATTAGTTGACACAGATGGGACCTGTCGATTCCCTTCATCCACTTTCGTGTTATGTCAAATATCGGAGGGGCACTAGCAAGTAATCGGTGTACGAGTCACGTCGATGAACCTTTGCAATGCCCCCTTGAACATGCACACGAGCAATTGCATTGACTTGGAATAATAAGCGTGAAGTGTTGAGCCACTTTTCATCAAACTTAACTTGCACACCCAGTAAGGTAAATTTTGCTGTACTAAATTGTGCGCATGGAAAACCGCTAGCACACACCAACCAAAACTTGACATTACGAATGCAATTGCTTCTTCTTCAACGTAAAACCAAATTATTCACTTCGGATTGCTTAAAATTGTATACTTGGAATAGTTTACTCCTGTTTCACACTGCAAAAGCAAACGGATAGCTATCGCTTAATTCTTCCCCGTGCGCAAAACAGGGCAGTACTGGTGTTGCTAGACAGAGCTGTGTGCTTTGGTCTGACAAAGTGTTGTGGAGGTGCGCATTTTATTGCATTGTCTGATGACCCTCGGTTGTCCAGATTCTTAGTTAGGAGGTTGAACTTAAGAAAGTGTTGTCAGAGGGCGAGATCAAGTAAAGTGGGAAGCAATGCGAATTAATGACATCAATCAAAGATTAAGTAAGGAAGCCAAATTGTGGATAATTTGTTCCTTTAGAAATCGCATTTTAATTTCCCTTTCCAAGCAATAAGTTTCGACATGTTTATTACCTCA